AAAAATATATACAAATAAACCTTCAACTTGAAAAACTGTCATTCAATCCCCGAACTTATAACTTGTCATTGAATAAAACCGCGAACTTGCAAATTATTGTTCTAATAAACATTTGACCGGTTTGACCACAATTTCAAACGATCGGAAATCCACGTATTGACGGATTGCTGATGTCATTTTTTAAATTAAAATTGATAACGTGTATAAGGTGACATCAGCAATCCGTTAATATATGGATTTTCGATCGCCTGAAATTGTGGTCAAACCGGTCAAAGGTTTATTAGAGCAATAATTTGCAAGTTCGAGGTTTTATTCAGTGACAAGTTACAAGTTCGGGGATTGAATGACAGTTTTTCAAGTTGAAGGTTTATTTGTATATATTTTTGCAAGTTGGAGGTTTTTTAGGGGTTTTACCCTATTTAAAGTTACTAAAAAATATTTTTAGTATTAAAATAAAAATCATATTTATTAATACTAGTAATAACGATATAAGATGCCTACCATATATATTTTGAATAATAAAATTTGAATTATATATCTTAAATTATAAAACTTTTTTTTTTAAAAAAGAGTTATGGTAAAAATTATAAAAATATACTCTTTATATATACATAAGTATAATGTGAAATTATTTTTAAAACAATGAGTTTTTTATCTTTAAAATAATTAATATAATTATTTTTTTAATAAAAATAAAGAAGTCTAATTAAAAATCTTTAAAAATCTATAAAAGAGTGATTTTTGGTTTTTACGTTAGTTTCTTAAAAAATTGGTTTTCCAAATTTTTAGAAAAAATGAAATTAAAAAATCATAACCGGAGATTTTTTTAGATTTTTAACTTCGAAAACCTGGAAAAACCACTCCCACTTTTCAAATAATAAATATTTTGATTTAATTATTATTTTTAAATATGAATACATATCTCAAATTAATATTTTCTTAAGTACCAAAATCTATATATATTAAAAGTTGTGTTTGAAGGTTTCTCATGAAGCCACGTCAATATCCACATCATCAATTACATGTGGCATTTATTTATTGATTATTACTATCATCATTAGTTATTTGATTAGAGTATTAAATATTATAAATGAAAATAGGTTTTTTTGGAAACATTAGTGATCACATATCACAAAAACCTGTCATCGTATTATTATAGTTTTTAAAAAAACAGTTTTATTATATAAAAATTCAATTTGATTTTAGTAATTTCTATTGAAAAATATTTTTTAAATATTATAGCTATATACAATTATCAATTTAATTTGAATATAAAAATAATAAAAATTGTGAAGCCACGTCGTCCATTTGACAGATTTCTCAATTTTCATTGCATTATAATATTTTAAGACAATTAATTAGAATGGTATTGATTAAATATGGGAATAGATTAAGACAATTAATTAGGAAGGTAACGTAATTTGATTACATATGTGAATAGGTGGATTGATCAATCAATACCATTCTTCAGTGTAATAAGGCATCAGAGCTATTGATAGACCCTCCCATATCGCAGTCTTCTCATGTTTTTTTTTTAAATGTAATTGGTTTTGCAGTTTTCTCATGTTAGATGGAAAGAAAGCTTAAACCTTTGATGCTTGAGGATTTCTCTGAGAGTCTTGAATGGAGAATGTCACTGGTGACCCTTGGAATAGGTAGTTATATTCCTTCCTTTTATTTTGTATTTCTGGATGTGAATTTTTATATAATAAAACTGTTTTTTTAAAAACTATAATAATACGATGACAGGTTTTTGATATTTTTTTCCTTCAATATTACAAAATAATTCGAAAAATAAAAATAAAAACATACATTGAAGAAGAGAAAGGGGGGAAAGAAAAAGAAGACAAAGTGCGAACCACGTCCTGGTTCGTGCCCGTCGTCATCACAAAAACATGAACTCCATGAACATTTCCCCCACAAAAACACATTCACACTTCGCATTTCCGACACAAAATTCTCAGACAATCTAAGATTCCGACCTCTCAACGAAAATGGTGCTCGGATTAAGATCCAAGAGTCGAAAAGACAACGGGATCTTCGTCGAATATCTGATCTCGATCAAGGAGCTCAAGCCATGGCCGAACAACCTCGTCCCCGCACAATGCGTCCTCCTCAAATGGGCAAATGCCGAAACCAGCAACGGATCATTCATCGCAGTTGTCGGAAACGAAACCATAATGTTCAACGAGTCCTTTACGCTCACACTGGTCTTGGACCAAAAGGGTCAAGACAAATTCCACAAAAATCTCCTGGAATTCAACGTTTTCGATGCTCGTAAGGACAAGAACACCGACAAGAACAAGTTTCTCGGATCTGCGGTCGTGAACCTTGCGGAACACGGCATCGTCCGAGGCTGCGTTCCGGTCGGAGTCCCGTTTAGCTTCAAGAAGAATTCGAGGAACGATTCGAATTCGGTTCTTTATCTTACGATCGAACCAGTGGTGAACGGATTCGGGGACGAGAATGACGAGAGGAACAGTAGCTGCTCTTCCCCGAAGACGAGCTTTTCGAGACCGTCCATGGAGTTGGACGTGTCGTGTACGGACGACGACGACGGTTCCTCGTCTCAGTCGTCGCGTAGAGTTTCCTTCTCTGCCACTAATGATTATATCAATGATAATAATGATAATAATAAACTGATCTCCATGGGACAAAATCATCCGGTAAGCAAGATTTACTTTTGCTGGGTTTCCATACATACACACACACATATATACGTAAACGTATGCTGTGTTGAAAGATCATTACAACGTCTATCGTTTTATAACTTTAAGATCGGTTTAGAAATTGAATCCGAATTCTCATTTCTTGGTTTCTTCTTTCTAGTCCTGCGGGATCGATTTCGAACCAGCAGTTGACAATTACGAAAGTATAGGGTTAATTTCACAAAAATATCTTTCTTGAATTCGTTTTTTCCTTGAAAATAAGTTTAACATTTCAAGATTCTGAAGAAAAAAAACTGTCTTGAAGTTGCAGAACACAAGCCAAGAAGGAAATGGCGAGGAGAAGAAAGGCTGGAAACACATTACGCTTAAACACAGCACGAACGAAGCGACGCTCGTCTCCGAGATCGAGAATCTATTGAGAGAGGAAGAACGGAAGCGCGTGAGCAACCAAACGACGCCAAAACCTCTCGCGAGATCGCAAACCGAGAAAAGAAACGATGATGCCGTTGCAATTGAAACAAATAAACCATTCCCCGAGCTCAAACCGCTCGCTTCGTTACCCCCCGAGGCCGTGAGGAAACAAATGAAACTGCGGACGAACACTCTCGCCCTCGGGCGAAAGACTCTGGGAATGGAAGGTGTTCCGAGGCTTAAGCAACTGAAATCTATTCAATTGCATTTCGATACCGGTAAGATACCTAATAAACTCCTAGATTATTAGAGTTTATAACTTAGAGTTTCGTTTTCTGTTAGTAGGGGTGAGCGTTTCAGGTTTCGATCGGTATTTGTTCTATCAGTTCGAGAACAATTTATTTAATTCTATAATAATTATACTAAACTAGAACCGAATATTAATCGGTTTGCCTCGATTTTGGTATATGAATTCCAAATAAGAAGCAAAACTTGATATTTACATAAAAATTGATACGTAATTATAATTACGTTCGGTTCCATCCGAAAACGGTTTATTCAAATCTAAACCCAACGGGTAAACACATGGTCTATATGTTCAAGTTTTCCCTTCCTGCTAAAGATCATGAGTTCGAACCATGGATTTAAGGATGCTTGTTTGAGTGCAAATTCTCGTTTTTCCGATAGATGAAATCCGAAAGAAGATGACGATGAAAGGATCGTCTGATAAGGTCAGTGTCGCGAAGGAGTCTAAAACCGAGATTTTAGAGGAAGAACTGAGGGAAACCGCGGCTCTTGAAGCCGCCATTTACTCTATAAATCCCGAGCATAGCAGATCCCAGAGCAAAGTTCATGCCCCGGCTCGTCGCCTTTCTAGATTCTATCTTCATGCTTGCAAAGCGAGCTCGAATTCTAAACGAGCAAGCGCCGCAAGAGCTGTTGTTTCTGGATTAGTTTTAGTTTCCAAAGCTTGCGGAAACGATGTCCCGAGGTAATATTCTTACCGTAGCACCTAAACATCGTTGAACAAGATATGCTCGAGGAATGATAAAACTAACGTTTTCCATTCGTGTTCATAGGTTAACCTTCTGGTTATCGAATGCAATCATGTTGAGAACAATTGTTGGTCAGGGCGTCCAGAAAATGAACCTTTCTTCCGGGGATGACGCTCCTCTTGGCGAGAAAAAGCTCGAGTATTTTCTCGAGAAAGATGAATGGGCGGACCCTCGTGCCTTCCTCGCTGCATTGGAGAGGTTTGAAGCTTGGATCTTTCCCCGGATCGTTAAGTCGGTATGGTGGCAGGTAATTTTTACTTCCGAGTCTTTTGTCCTGTTTATTATCCGAAAATACACCATTGATGATAGCTGATTCATTTCCCGTCTCTGTGATCTCATAGAGTTTCACACCGCATATGCAATCTGCATGTACAACCAGAGGCTCGATCTCGAGGAAAAGCTCGGGGAAAAGAAGGTCAGGTCACAAGAACCACGGACGGTATTCTATCGAGCTGTGGAAGAACGCCTTCAGAGCAGCGTGCGAGAGGCTATGTCCTCTACGAGGCACAAGACAAGAATGCGGTTGCTTACCTATGCTCGCTAAACTGGTACGGTTCTACAAATCTGCACATATTCCGTGCCATTATCCCCGAAAAATCGATCTTTGGACACTGCCATACCGAGAATCTCGACCTTAGGGATGAACTTTCTTGTTCATACCGATTCTTTGTTTCTGAAATCAGGTAATGGAGCAATTAATCAGCAGACTGGATGTAGCAATGTTCAATGCAATACTCCGAGAATCACCAGAGGAAATGCCGACAGATCCCGTGTCCGATCCCATCAGCGACATAAACGTTCTTCCGGTTCCAGCAGGAAAAGCGAGTTTTGGGGCGGGCGCCCAGCTGAAAAACTCGGTGAATGAACCATAAATATCTATTGAATTCTCAATAACCAGCATGAATTCCACAGAAAAGGCAGATTTTTTTTTTCTATCTTCGGGTGATAGGTTGGCCATGACTTGGATTCATACTACTTTGCAGACAGGAACATGGTCCAGATGGCTTGCAGATCAATTCGACAGAAAGGATGATTCTGCCAGTAGAAAGGACGAAAACCCGGAATGCGAAAGCTTCAGATTGTTCCATCTACTCAATGCATTGGGTGATCTCATGATGCTTCCATTCAAAATGCTTGCGGACAAATCCACAAGAAGAGAAGTAAAAAAACTCTGAAACTTGTCTCCTTCTGAAAACACCTCGGGGGAAGTTGTCAAGTTTCTTTCACTGGTTAACCATCTCTGTGTTTTCTGAAGGTGTGCCCTTCGCTCGGTCCGCTGATTATAAAGAGAGTTCTCCGCAACTTCGTCCCTGATGAGTTTAACCCCCACAGAATCCCGAGACGCCTTTTCGATATTCTGAACTCTGAGGTGAAAATCTCTGACCTGAAATCTTCAGCCCTTTTTCCTCTGCTATTTCCGTTGAATCCACTGACCGAATCTGCTGTTTTCTCGGCTCTTTCTTTTCTTCAGGACTCAGCCGAGGCAGGCAACGGATGTATCACGAGCTTCCCTTGCGCTGCATCACCTACATTCTACTCAACGCCAACCGAAGATTTGATAAAAAGCTTCATAGGAGAGTTCAGCAAACCTTCTCTTTCAAGAAACGGGTCATCGGTATTCAAGAAGCAGTACACGAGCGATGATGAGCTGGACGACTTGGATACAGCCATTAACTCGATAATCTCTGCTGCTGCAACGAATAATGCATCGGAATGGTTGCCAAAGGGATATGGACACAAAAAGGCCATACGGTACCAACTCCTAAGAGAAGCATGGAGAGATGATGCAATATAAAAATGACCCTTCTCCCATTGCTTGCTCTTAGTATTGATTCGCATCTCAGATGTCTGATTTCTACTTTCGGGAGCCTCTGTTTTATGCCATTGTTATATGATTTCATGAATCTGCATTGCATGATGAGAAAGAGGACCAAAAATTCCATAGATACAAGGATCTGTACAAATCTTCTACTCTGTAAGATGTCAGAAGAGACAGTACTGAAACAGGGACAAAACACAAACTTTACACCAACTAGGGAGGGAATCCAGCTCTCTCAACACTGGTACACTGAGAAGCTCTTGCTCTTCCAAAGAAAACTGAAAGCTCTTCCCATTTTCCGTTTAGAGACCGATTTACATTGCGGTTTTGACTCTGATATAGTGGCTGCAGCACCCGAGAACTCATTCTCGGGACTCTGTACCTGAGAATGAGGTTCTGTAAGGCGGGTTTGATCCCTCTGTCGCTGTTCCCTGAATAACGTAAGAAGTTTCTGCGCTCTCTCCCTCCCTCGATGAGTCCCGTTAACAGAAATGGATACCAATGAAGGTATTACTCCCTCCTGTAAAACCATCTGGCTGCAGCTCTCGCTATGATGGCATAAACTCAGAAGCAGTGAAACAGCTTGCTCTTGCTCACTGGGTTCTCCAGTGTCCAAAACAGTTGCAAGATTGCTCACAAGGCCTGGCCTCAACACCATCTCATCTTTTCCGGCCTCGGTTGAAACCAAGTTCAATAAGACAGCTAATGACTTCTCTGTCCATCTTTGGTCATCACTGACAGATAGGGATTCAAGGGCATTGACAATGTCGGAAGAGAGAAGGATGGGAATATTGGGAGGGTAGGTGGAGAGGTTATAAAGGGCATGCAAGGCGTCGACCTTGCATTGGGGATCAGTCTCGGTCTGAAGAAGATTGACTAGGAAAGGGACGGCTAGACTTGAACCTATGACCGGCTTGGTATCTTCAAGACACGAGAGGTTCAGATAAAGGGCTGTTGCTGAAGCATGGCAATGCGGGTTAGAGACCATTTCCTCGAGCAGTGGAATGATTCCTGATGTTAACATCAACTCCTTGTTCCTGAAATTCGAAAAACACGGTACACCAGCAATGTGATCAAAACCTCTGGTTTAGAATAATAAGAATATTAGAGGTTTTACCATTTAATTCTCTCAAAACATGCACAGACTGACTGCATGATTCCAATGGTAGAACCATCACAGATTAAATACAAAAGATTGGAGTATATGTAGAGAAAGACCTTGACATTCCTAGAACAGCAAGAGGTAACTACAAAATGGACTCTACGAGTAAGTATACACAATATACAGAAAATACAGAACTTTATATGCTTGATCTGATTATGAAACACCACCGAAAGGACAGAAGATAACATCTTTGGTCTAAGAAATTGACAGAAGAAGGTGGAAGATCAACACATACCTATCGTTATTGACAGCCAAGTTGAAGAGAGCCATGGCTCCAATTTCCTGACCTGAAGCATTATTTTCACCGAGAGCTGATCCGAGAAACTGAAGCAATGCTTCAACACACCCATTTTCCCCCATGAGATTCCTGGCATCTTCATCATCCTTGAGTAATAGTCGTATTTGTTCCACAACTCTGCATTTCTTCCGTAAGTTTTCCATTTCTTTCAATGAGGTCAAAAGAACAGTACACCTTTCGACGAGAGCGGTTTCAGCTTCCTGCTCTATTGATTCACAGGTTCCCTCCTCAATGGTTCCGCTTACTTCCAATGGAACTACCTTTACCTCCTTCAATTTGCGAATACCAACACCATTCGCCGGCCTCGAGCTGTTGGACTCAGACACTGACAAGGCAAGCCTCCAATAGTTGAGGTCAAGAGATTCCGGGGGTCCATCAGGGACCGGAGCACCATTCTGTTCACACCAACTTGCTATCAAAGCCTTGACACAGTAGTTAGGAGTCAAACCCAGATGAGAGAGCTGCTCGTGAGTCTTGGGACATGTGGTATGTCCATCGCTGAACCATTTCTCAATACAGATTCTTTCGTAGGTTTGTCCGGACGCAATAATGACGGGATCATACATTAGCTGTAATGATATTGGACACCTCAATTCATCGGGTGGAACATGCATATGCACTGATCTCCTGTTATTGTAAGGCCTGAAGTTAAAGGAACTGAGTTTCGATAACTGCCGATCAAACGCACGGCCATGGGCATCCTCAAGAGAACCCTGAACAGTGGGTGAACAAGGCAATGACCCACCTGAATCATTATCATCACAGACTTCACTTCTGAATAGCTTGGAGTATTTCCTCATGAGATGTAACAGATAAGCCACAATTGATTCTTTCCTCTTGTCATCCTCCCTGCGGGCCCTCTCAATGAGTTTCTTGAGGCATCTTCTTTCAGTGAGAGCAGCTCTAGAAGAAGTGATACCAAGCCTAGTAGCAGCCTGATGGAAAATCTCGAGTTCATTGCTATCGGTAGAGCTCTCGAATTTGCCCCCTTGTTGCAGCAGTCCAATTATTCGATCACCAACTTCCTTCTCCACCGGGTCGAGGGAGAAAGTGGTGCCCTCTAGCTCCATCAAGATCCCCAAAACCTGAACAGTGATACACATGGATATAAATACCACTAACTTCACTCATTATCAGAAAGAATATAAGTAAAATGCAACCAAATGAACAGAGAAATCTTTTCTTTCTGCCGGTATTTGACTTTAATTTGGTTTTCTGATAGGAAAAAATGAAAGAAGGGACACAAATTTGGAGAAATGGCATCAGAAAAACAATTACCTGAGATCCAATTGATTGTGGAACAATATCCTGAACGCGCCCAAGGCTATCTACCAGGGCAGATTTTGCCTTCTCAAATTTCAAAGCAATTGAATCCCCAGTTATAGCCTGCAGGTTATACATCAATCGATAAACAATAGATTCTGAAACTGTGAGAGAATCTTGAGCTAGAAGAAAAGGGCTTGCTTCTAAAATCAGGAACCTAAAAACTTTCATTAGTGCAAACCTATAAATTAAAGGAAGGAAAGCTTACCAAGTAAAGTTTACTACTTTCAGAGCAATGTTTAAGAATGTTCTTCACTTTTTCCAGAGCGACGTGTAATGAACACAATGCTTGGATTCCAGATTTGCTTCTGGGTCGGGCAGCTTCTAATGAAGGAAAAATCGACATGACTTTACAGTAGATTGCAGAAAGCGCATTGCACATCTCGCCATGTAGCTGAAACAAGGATTTTACAAGTCAAATGATCTGACATTAATGGCAAAAGATACTGCAATTCCTATTGCAGATGACATGTTAAGTCCAAACGATGGTTTGGCTCTTGTGCATCACAGAAATCAAGCATATGAATCAGAAATTTAAATGATAAATCAACAGTTACAAATACAGATTCAGAAATTATCATCCAATCAGTACAAGCTTTCAATTTGGACAAAGCCGAACAATGTCTTTGAGAGCAAACCAATAATAACTTTTCAAAAATTGAACTCGAATGATCAATCAGATACCTTTGCGTCTCCAGCGGCAAAGAAATTTTCTTCAACCTCGTTAGCATCCATTGTTCGACAATTCCCCGTGAAATGTTATGACAAAACTTCTATTTCACCTGAAAAAACCAAGGAAAGGGAGCTGAATCAGTGAACAGTGATGAATAAACCAAAGAGGGCAAAGAAATCTAATAAATCAATACTTTCCGGTTCTAAGAAGCAATCCAGACCCAATATCGTATGCCCCCAAACCAAAAATATAAACACAGGACGAACAAATCAGGAAAGCAGAAACAAAGACAAGAAAAAAAAACATACGAGGAAGATTTCATAAAACAATGAGAAGACCATTGCAGCTTGGTTGGGACATTTCAACAAACATGTGAGACTCAAAATCACCAGAAACCCATAAACCCAAAAGCAATCGACAAAAGAATACTCTTTTCAGTCAAGAAATTGATAAACGAAACAATAAATGATAAAAACATGAAACTCCATTGAACAGAAACCTGGATATTTCCCAGGCAATTCATGTTCGAACAAAAAAACCCAAAAGAACAGAAACAGAAAACAACCCAAGAAACAGAGGTACGAACCAAATCGACAATCAGAAGAACTAGTCTTGATGAAGGAGAACAGAACTCGGTCATGAACTGGGTTATCAATACAAAAGCTCAGAACCAGACACGGGTTTCTTGAGAATCTCTTTCCAAGCAGCTTCCGCTACAGCTTGATCCCTACAGTTTGGTTTTCGAGCTTCTCAAGGCGAATTTCTCGATCCCAACAGAGAGAAAGAGAGAGAGAGAGAAGGGAGCTTCAGCTGTTCAACGTGATGGAATGCCAATGGAAATGATTTTTTTTTTCTCTGGCTTGAAAAATAAATACGTGTGAAAAGGGGAAGTTCATCTCAAGTCAAAATAAAGCCAAGCTTGCGAGTTGCAGTGTCGCAGGAACACACAACAGATTTCTTTTTTTAAAGATATTTTTTCAGTTCAAGATTCTATTATTCTTTAATTCACTAAACGGCAACAATTAATTTAACTTTTTTTTCAAATGATTTTAATTAACGGTGAGATTTGCGTTTGTAACGGTAATTAATAAAGAAGGTTATTGTCATCGCTGAAAAAAATTTCATTCTTTGTTACACATTTTCTAGATCTAACATGCAATTAACCTTTTAATATATGTAATTAACATTTAGTCTACATAACAGTTTCTATTGTTTTTAATTATGATGGAAGATTAAATTATATCATACCCCTTTATTCGCGCTGTTGAATCCTCAAGTTTTTTTTGGGGAATTTGTAATCACAATTAAACCTCTAATTCGGATTCCAAAATGAGAAATCTTCTTTCTTTTTAAAATATTCGAATTTAAACTAATCTTTAAAGGCAAATGGTGCAATTAAAATGTAAAGAATTCATAGATTTACGGTAACTTTACTGTTGGGTTAGTGTTTTTTAACATTTTAAACGCATGAGATTTATATTTCTGAAATTCACAAATTGTATGTATTTATTCAGTGTTACTGTAGATATCACTCATAAGCAGCGTTGTGTTTTTCTTAGAAAAAATAAAAATAAAAGTACGAAAGAAATAAATATTGGGAATCCAATTTAATGACTCCCAATACACTTTTTCTCCGTGGAAAAATACTTATCACCAAAATAAAAAATTTCGGTGGTGTCAATATCTTAGTTTTAAAATGATGGTAACAAGAAATAATTAAAACGGTTATGTGAACAAGAGAATAAAATAAAGTTTGAATTGGTTTGAATTTTTTTTAAAATAAATAATTATTATATATACGATTCGGGAGAATAAAATAAAGTTTTGAATTGGTTTGGAATTTTTTAAAATAAATAATTATTATGTATATTGTATAATATATGGTGAGTTCGGAGATGTTGCCGAGTTCATCGGCCGACACTCGCCGACCACCTTACTTATGTCGGCTACTAGATCTGCCTTAAATGCTCAGAATTACCATATTACCCTTCTCGTCATGTTCGCCTCCCTTTCAATCATGTCAATTTTTTCATCATGCAAGGCCCTTTTTTTTGTCGTTCATCATTGGATTTTTTTGTAACAGTTTCTGTTTTTACCAAAATTTTTCTGTGTTTGGTTTTCAGTCAAACGTGACATGCGCATATCAATGATTGATTACGTAAACTCTCTGCCCACAAATTTAAATTTGAATTTGAATTTAAACTTCCCGATTTAAACAAGTGATTGGAGATAAACACATGATTAAATATCTTAACAAGATTTTTATTTAGAGACAACCGTTCATTTTATTTTAAATACATCCCGGTGGGAGATAGATATTTCAGATTTTTTTTATTTTGATTTGAATTTATAATTTTTTTAAAAAAATATTACGTAATTTTATATATAATTTTTCTTCAATTTGAGTTTTATTTATATTGTTATAATATGATTTCGTTGAAACAATATTTGTTTAAGAAAAATGATGTGTTTATTTTAAAAAAAAAATCTATGCTAAGTTAATTTAATTTCAAAAATTATATCAAAATATATTAGAGTCAAATACGATTGAATATTCTTTGGTTTAGTTTTATACAATTTATAAAATAAGGTCAAAACTATTTAGTATCTCTTAAATTATAAATTTCAAACCTAATTAGCTGTGATAATGATAGACACTAATGTATTCAAATACAAATTTACAATACACCATTAAAAATTCTTGTTATTTTCAACTTTGCAGTGTAATAAAGTCTATAAAAATGGCAATGGTTTCCCTAATTTAAACAAAATAATAAAAAAAAATCTTACAAATCCAAAATTATCACAATAAGATTTTACAATCACTAAACCTACCAATACAAAGTATCAATGGTTTGTACTTTATACCGCAATAATTGTATTATATTCGTGGTTCATAAAAAATAATAAAATGTTACAACACATATGACTGGTTGCAATCCCATCGTACAATTAAATTCATTTTGTTTTTATATATTTACTGTCTAATCAACAATCACACAACGATTACATGTTTCGGTTATACTATTAGTCGTAGGAAATTTACCCCGCCACGTCATTTTTACTTCATGATATCGTGGAAACGTGAAACAAAGCTTTAAACATCCACATAAGAGTATCATCTCCACTGTACAATACATATGGAATTATTAAAATTTTTACGGAATGTGAAGTAATTTATATTTTACCGTTACCCGATAACATATTTTAAAGATTCCATTACAATTCTATGTTATTGAAACTGATTTTTTTTTAAAAAAAATTATCAACGTTTTGTATTAATATTCGATTAGGGATTATTAAAAGTATTTTATATTATAACATTGTTCAAAAACTGTTGGATTTAAAACTTTTAATAGATGTTATTGAATTATAGATTTTAAAATATTTAAAGGTAAAATTATAAATACTAAAATATCACCTCGATTTGGTAGCTTTCAAAACTTTTTTCATAGCAACTTTCAAAATGAAAAAAAAATCCTAGGATAATAAAAATTTTAAAATGAATATAGGTTTAAAATTTTTTAATTGAAAATCACATCCTATTCGTTCAATGCATCATAGAGAGGTAGGTCGATTCATTAAAATTCAAAAAAAAAAAAAAGACAAAAAACTAATACTAAATACTTTATCGGCGAAGTGCATACATATTATACACGAATTGCATTTTACAATATTTTCTTTTTTTGTGAAACTGAAATAGGTTCGTTTTCGTAAAGTGGTAATAATATTATTAAATTATTATTATTATTAAAAATCTTCCTCAAGTCAGACTGTTTGTAAATTTAAAAAGAATGTGGGTTCCAAAAAAGTCCACGTGACAATGAGTTTCACCATGGATCTCTTAAAACGCCACGTGGCAAACTGTTTCACCGTGGATCTCTTAGAAGTACTTGCAGTTTTCTTATGGGTGAAAAAAACAAAGGTAAAATTATATCTGTCGTTTTTTGCAAAAATAGTTACTGTTGTTGTTTCATGTATTTTTCAGCCAATCACGGCGTGAATTGCTGTCTGACAGATCAGACGCGCAGGTGAATCCACGTGGCAGATTACAGACCGCCTGATCAGACATGGGGACGAAGACAGGAACGTGTGTTTAAAGACGTGATGACAAAACCAGGGCACGTGCAGTCATTGTAACCGATCCAAATGCGGTTCTTTGAATTGTCCTCGTTTCGTGGAAACTATATTATTGGTCTCTCTCGCATTCAATTCGGTTCGGGTCTCTGTATTTGTTACGTCAACGATCAAATAAACCGCGAATCTAAATTCGGTCGGAATTCGATTCGGTTTATTTTGGTCCATTTCCGATTTTCATCGATTGCACTGATTTAATTAGATTGGAATTAATTTGATATAATAAAAAAATATTGATTCATATAAATATGTAAGTATACTCAATAGAGCAATATGTACCGTCTCGTCTGATCACGTTATTGAATTCTTGATTTTTTTTTGGATTAAATCCGATTGCTAAAGATAAAAAATAATATAACGAACCAATTGTCATTATCAATAATCTGATAAATGTACGAGATTTTTTATTAATTCTATTATCTAACAACTCCATGAGATGCTTTCAATTATGGGAAAAAATATGTTTAAATAAAAAATAAAAAAATTCGTATATAAATAACCAAATTTTTATAAAAATCTCATATAAATATCTCAACTATAAAATTTTCATAAACTTTTTAAAAATTCAATATAAATATCTATACTTTTGAAAATTTTCAACTAAACACAAAATTCAAGTAATTTTTTAAAATAAAAATAGTTTAATATTTTGGATTTATCAATTCGATAACATCCATATCCATATATTCCAACAGGACCATCTCATAGGAGACCTTGCACGGACAGGGGTTCCAATTTTTTTTGCACCACTTTTTTTTTTAAAAAAAACATTGTTTCTAAAATCCAATAACTATTATTAAGATTGGACAAAATAATAAAACCGGTAAAATTTTAAAAAATTATTAGATTTAAATTTAAATTCTAGTAGACTTTTTATATTGTATTAATTTTAAATTTTAGAAAGTATTAAAAGAAGATAAAAAATAATTTGATAATAAATATAAGTCAATTTTATTTTATAATTTTCATCAATATATATATATATATATGTATTAGAAATTTATTTAATATTTTTGGAAAACATATATTTATTATTTGTTATATATTTTTTTTTTTTGCAAATTGAATTAGAATATAGTTTAAACTAGAAAAAAATGAATTTAACAAAAATGATTTATGATGATATTATTAATGTGTATATATATAATTAATGTTTTTGAACGTATTCGCGAAGTGTTTAAACAAAAATGACTTCTAGAAGTACGATGATTTGTATGTATATATTGTTACAAAATCAGTACCATGAACATCATATATATTCGCTAAGTGTTTGGTACTCTAGAATCAAATACATGGATATACATATATATATATATATATATATATGAAAGCTCTCGGAAAATGAGCATATAGTAAAATATATTGAATTAGTGCTCCAGCTATTTTTATATGCAAATCGAATACCCTAACATGTAGACATTTCACAATTAAGTTTTATTAATTTAAATGACGCAATCATAATATATAACCTAGAGTTTGGATTTTCCAAAGTTTATTTATGGGGGGGTGGGGGAACAAGTGATGTTGAGTATATCCAAACCCTTTTTGTTCAATTTTGAAAATATAATATATTTTGACCTAAATACAATATAAATTAGGAGTCTCGTATACATGCATATATATATATATATATATATGATTCATCACAGAAACATCAGACAGAAGGCTCTTCTGCTCTCTCCGTCTTGTCTCTCCGCCTAAGGTAAGCTTTTGGCGTCTCCGAATTCGTCTTCTCTCACCCTTTACCGATGTAATCGCGAGATTCGGCTGATGAAATTTTAGAAAGTTATGTTCGGTCTCTCGTAATTTAGTACATGTTAAGGTTAGGGTTTTCTGGAAGTTGTTGGATTTTTTCTTCTAGGGTTTAGGTTAAGGCTTCGATTGAGATTGATTTTGGTCCAATGAGACAGTGAATGCTCTCCTGTTTAGGTTGATACAGAACACTATGGATTCGTTAGAACCCGACAAGGAGACTTGCGGGGGACTCTATGTTCCAGTGAAGGATAAATTGACTTCAAATCTCGCCTAGGTATGGGTTTGGATTTCTTTTGTTACGGTTTTCTACATGAAATTCTTACTGCTAAGTTACAGCAATTTGATCGGGAAAGTACGCTAGGTTTTTGTTGAAGAAATCCGTTTGTCTTATCACCCTCATAGGATCGGATATGTTGGCAATCGAGAAAAGGGAGAATGCTAAGACTGAGGAGGTGTTTAAAGTGCCTAGGGAGAGGGTAATATCCGTTCCAGCCTCTTTAGACGAAGATGAGAAATTTGAACTAACTCAATCAAACGATAGAGCAAAAGCCACTTTACGTGACCATTCCATCAGACGTTACCGAGAGAGGCTTCAAACTTTGGAATTGCAGGGTATGTTCTTCCACTTTTTTTTAAATGGCCACTTAAGCTCTCGGCTGCAATATCTTTTCAAATTACTCCAAGAAAGGGTTATATTTGTATATAAGTGCTCTTGAGCCTTTTCTTTAAGTCTATTTCTTCTGGTATGTGAAAAGACGCCTTGATAGAATGTCAACTGACCTGTTTGGTTTTTAATTTATGCATGCCTACTTGTTTTCGACAACATAATACGTGTCAGAGGACACAATGTTTGTATGATTTTTCAATGCATATTTACACAGAATCTTGCAGGTAGGTCAGATTGGGATGATAGTAAATGGGAATGGGAAGATAGTCCATATAGTGAGAGTGACTCTAGTTACAAGAGAGTGACGAAGCAAGGGAGAAGTTTTTTGTGTCAGAATCTGATCATCTTACGCTTCTGAATGTCTACAAGCAGTGGAAAGAGCATGATTATCGGGGAGACTGGTACAATGACCATTGCTTGCAGGTCAAAGGGCTGAAAAAGGCGACAGAAGTGAGATCCTAGCTTTTGGATATTTTCAAGCAACAGAAAATCTCACTCAAGTCATGTGGCGATGAGGATATTATCAGAAAAGCCATATGCTCTGCCTATTTTCAGAATGCTGCGAAAGCCGAAGGTGTGGGCGAGTTTGTGAACTGCAGAACTGGAATGCCCTGCCGTTTGCATCCAAGCAATGCCTTGTATAATTCAGGTGTCCTTCCTGAGTACGTGGTCTATCAGGGGTTGCTTTTAAGTAACCAGAAAGGAGTACATGCAGTAGAGCCACAATGGCTTGCTGAGATGGGGCCTATGTTCTTCTCGATAAAGTATTCTTACATGTATTTGTTGGAGCATAGAAAGAAGCAAAAGGAAAAGAAAACAGCCATGGATGAAGAAATGGATAGTTTGAGAAGGGAACAGGCCAAGTTGGAGCGTAAAAGCAAAGAGGAGAAGGAAAGAAGAGCAAAGCAGCAACAACATATCTCAGGTTCGGGGTTGAAGAAAGGCGGTACCTACATCAGGCCTGAGAAGTTAGGATTGTGAACAGTCTCTTCTCTTGCTACTTTGTCGATTCCTTGTTCATTTACTTGAATGGTTAAAAGAGTTGCAATTCTACAGTATGTAACAGGATCTTCAATCAACTAATAACATCCTTATATTATACAAAACTGAAATCTCATTATGTAACACTATTGTCTGACAGCTATGCTTCTAGGACGTCTTGAAGTTGAAGTACCTGCAATAAAATGTCCGACGGTCAGTTCAGGATACAGCGCAAAATCGCAGTCCAAAAGAAGCCGAGAACAAGTAAGTAACACTATGTTGAACCTGTGGTGAGTGTTTGATGGATTTGGAGGCCACTGGTGATTGTAGTTGTGCTGTGAATTATTCCTAGGAATCTGTCTACCTGACTGAAGTAGCTCTCTCTCCAAGATTTCTTGACCATCAAAGTGCCACAAACCGCCCAGAATCCTGCAGCTCCTCCAACAGCCATGCCCATGTACATCCAGACCATCTCGTCATTGTCATCTTTGTCTTCCTCCTGGACTGTCCTGTCTCCACCTCTTGCTGCGACACAATTGGCTGTCAGGGGAGGTCCGCAAAGTTGCGGATTTCCCTCGTAGATGGAAGGATCGTTGAAAGTTGCGAACTGGTTTGATCTTGGAATGATGCCCGAGAAATTGTTGTGTGACAAGTTAAGATGATTCAGCAGGGTCATGGATGTCATGCTTGGAGGTATAACGCCCGAGAGACGGTTGCCGGAGATGTCGAGCGTCTCAAGCTGTCGTAAGTTTCCAATGTTCTCGGGCAGGGGCTCGGTTAGTTGGTTCCAAGATATGTTTAGGAACCCTAATGTCTTGAGCTCTGTTATCTGTTCTGGGATCTGTCCTGTGAGATGATTGACAGAAAGGTCGATGGTATTGACAAGCTTGACCATGTTTCGGAACTCGGCAAGCCGTCCCTTCACAATCAACTCCATTTCCTTTCCTTCCACAATCCAGTCTGAAATCTTCGAACCTAGCGACTTATCTACTGCAGCCATAGGAAGGTAGAAGCTAAGGACTTTCAGAGCCTCTAAGTTGCCAATGCACCATGGAATTGGTCCTGATATGTTGTTAACAGCAAGATCTAGTATATGCAGAAGCGAGAGCCTGCACATTCCTTCGGGGATTTTCCCTGTGATCTTGTTGCCTCGAAGTGTCAGTTCCATCAAGTTAGGTAACTCTTCTGCGAATTGTTCAGGTATGCTCCCATGGAATTCATTTTCTTTGAGATCAAGTGTTGTCAGCTTTGTGCAGTTCCTCAGCCAAGAGAGGTTTCCAGAGAGGGAGTTCCTGCTCAACCTTAACCAGCGAAGTGACGGTAGGTGTGAGCATAAAGTAGGTGGAAGCCGACCAGACAGGTTGTTCCTGGAGACATCGAAGACGTGAAGTTGGTTTAGACCCTCCCAACTGCGATACATGCTCCCCGTGAAATTATTGTTCGATAGGTCCAGATACTTGAGCTTTCTCAAGGTCTGAAGGGACCATGGAATTTCTCCGATAAGCATGTTCCCCGAAAGATCCAGGAAGATCACCTTTGACAACCCGAGATGGAAGTCTGAAGGTATCCGTCCCGAGAATCGGTTGTTTCTTAGGGAGAACATGCTTATATTTCTCCAAGATGGGATGATGCCCTCAAACTGATTGTCTGTCAGATAAACCTCGGCGCCAGGATAAAAACTGAGGGATCGGGTAAGTGTTCCATGTAACTGGTTGTTCGAAATGTCTAGGAGATGCAGAGATGGAGCTAAGTTCCAAAAGGAGTCCGGCACGGTGTCTTCTATCCCGGTTTTCGGCAATTCCAACTCTGAAAGCATTGTCAGCATGGTTACCCACGTCGGGAAGGAAGGTCCTAACGCACACTCTTTTATATTCAAAGCCACCAAACCAAGAAACAGCGGCTTCCAATCAAGGCTGAGATTGAAAACTAAGGACGCATTTTCTGACGATAGCGAAAGATGTGTCAGATTTCCGAGATTCTGGAAATGAGCTTCTGATATGACACCTTTGAAAGCGTTGGAGTGGAGGCTAAGCACTGAGAGATGGGAAAGGTTTCCTATTGACGCCGGAATTGGACCCGACATCAAGTTATTTGACAGAGAGATGTGCCGCAAGTTCTTGAAGGACATCAGGGTATCAGGTAAAGTCCCGTTGATTCTATTGGCATTAAGATCTAGCCACTCTAAGGTATCGTTTCCACAATTCGACAACTTCTCAACCAGTGATTCTAGTTCACCCTCCATTTCGTTGAACGCAGCTTCCAGAATCCGCAAGTTGCAAGATTCCTTTGCGACGATCTCCGAAACTTGGCCTTCGAGCCCACAACTTTCGACACGAAGATGCTCCAGGGAAGTGATGTGATTCAGCCACTTGGGAATCGAGGTGTTGAATTGGTTTTTTGACAGGTCGAGGACACGAAGGGATGTAACGTTCACAAACCCAAGCGACTGAGGGATTTCTCTGATATCGCAGTTCGAGAAACGCAGCTCCGTAAGCGAAGGAAGCGAGTTAATGACGTTCAGCCAGTCGCCACTGGCCTTACTCAGGTTCACATTTGACAAATCCAAGGAGTTCAAGGAAGAGAGTCCAGAGAGCCAGCTCAAGTCCTCAACCCAAAGATTCTCATCAGAAGGAGATTGACTGAGATTCAGATACCGCAGATCCGACAAATCCCCGAGACGAGAGGGAATCAATCCCGAAAACGAGGCGTTGGAAAGATCAAGATACCGTAATCTCCTCAAGGACCCAATGAAATCCGGGATCCTCAGTCCGGAAAAGTTGTTGTTCTTGAGATCCAAGTGGCTCAAAAACTCGAGCCCGCGAAGAGAAACGCTTATAACGCCGCCGAGGCATCTGTTATCGGTTGCAGAGGAGTCGCAATACCGTGGAAAACCACCGAGGTCGAGCCTTATAACCCGACCGCTCCCATTGTTGCAGACAACACCAGCCCAGTTGCAGCACTCACTGCCTGTCCAAGAAGAGAGCTTGTCCGAAGGATCTTGAAGGCCTTTCTTGAACTCCAAAAGGGCGTCTCGTTCGACTTGGAAACATCGGTGTTGAGCTTCGACAGGAACATATTTGGATAATAAGCAGATTGACAGAAAGGAAACGAACTGGATCAGGGCATATCCACTTATGTTTGCCATTGTTTTTTTTTCTCTTGTTCTTCTTGCTTGTGTCTGAACCGAAAGGTATATATGGAAAGTGAACGGTGTGTGTACAAAATGCAAAAGGGAAGAAGAGAATGGGTTTTCTCTGAACGAGTCAAATCCAAAGTCTTATATTCAAACTTCAAAGTATTTGTTAAATTAATCGTTTTTGTATTAAATCATTAATCAAAGCAAGCAATCAGAGAGGGTATTATCGTTTTTGAATCGTTGAAGTCAAAGATTTTATTAAAAGTACTTTATTTTTTAGTTAAAAAAACGAAAAAAGCCATATCATAACTTATGTGATGCTTTTTTTTAATATAATTACCCGATTTATGTTTCCAGCAATTACCTCTAATTTTATATATATATATATATATATATATATACAAAAAGTGTCTATTCTCACTAATAGTTCATACTCTCAACCCTTCCAAGGCTTTTTTTTCGGATTTTTTTTATATATAAATTAGGAATTAAATAAAGCTGTGAGAAAATAACATGGTCTTCGGTTATGCTATATTATATCAAAAATTAAAATTAGATTATATGATGGGAAATTATATGTTACTCAAAAGTGGAAAGGATGTTGAAGTTGGTCAGACATCATGCAACGGAAAACCAACATCACATCGTTTTAAGTGAAAGATTCCACAGTTTATGGTTTAAAATCTCTCAAGTTAAATCCAATTGCTTGTTAATTATAGTTTAACAAAGATAAGACCTTTCAAAGCAAAAAAAGAGCAACTACGACATTAGGATATGATCATTCAATTATATTTCGGATTATTCAATTGGAGAAATTTTTTTGACGAATGCTGAAACCGGTTGGGTTCAATTTCGGTTTTAGTACTCTGGTTATTTATTGGGTAAGACGCTGGTTATTACATATCCGAGTTTCTCGATATTATTCTTTTGGTCTTATGTCTCTCGGGTGTTTCACGGTATACTCGGTTTCGTGAGAGTCGGTACCAAACTTCGGTATCCGTGGGTCAAGGCTAAGGTTTGGATATCCGCGGATACCCCATTAGGCGAGGATCGAGGCGAGACGATGGGGCGGTGAGGTGAGGCAAAACGAGTGGCAATGTCCCTAAATCACGAAATCGCCACTTCTTCCTCTCCCTCTGGTCCTAGTGTCTCGAAATCTCCCTTTTCTCGTGTCTCAACTCCTTGCCCTTCACCGCCATATGCCCCCTTGGCGACTCGCCCTCTTTCCCTCTCTGTCCGAGTTCGGGTTATTCGCGGTTACGAGTAATAGCCGTACGAAACTTGAACCTGAATCCGCGGTTCAAATCCCCCATCCGATGAACTGAACTCGATTTCACCATGGCCAAGTACCCGAATGTCGGATACCCGTATGACAAAACCTGAAGATATCCGAAATTCAGAGTACCAATGCCCTTAACACTTGTTAGGTAGCTTTTAAAAAAGTTTTCCGATCTTGGTCTGGTCTGGATTTGGTTCATTTGATCCGAGAAAAATATTAGTTTGGGCCATGAAAAACCCGAATCAAGACCGGAAATATCTTTAAGAATTGAATGACCGTAGGATTGAAATCGAAAACAGATTAGGACTGTAATATCCTTAATAAACCCAACCGGTCTGAATATTATCTTTAAAAAAAACTTTCACAAAATGGAATAACCTGAATGATCAACAGTAGTAAAAACAAAGCGAGCTAAAAACACCACCTTGCTTAGGAATCAAGTTTCTCTTTTACATATAATACATATATAACTCTCTGGCTTTTCATGCAGGAGAAGCAAGCCCTTCACTAGAAAAGCGACCTCTTAACTTTTACCAAAGCCGAAATTATATCCACAGAGAGAGAGAGAGAGAGAGAGAGAGAGAGAGAGAGAGAGAACCTGAAGGATCTGAGGTGTGGAGAGATGAGGCCGACCCTTCACTTGAACCAGAAGATTAGAAGCAGAATATCAGTCTCTTTCATCCTTGTCTTCAAAGCAAAAACAGCACCAGAAACACAGTTCATAGCTCATCTGTCTCAAACCCATCACAGTTTTTCCACTTTCATAGCATCATATCATATCGACACGCTCTCAAGAGAGCTTCCAAAACAGTCATATGGGAACGGTCCAAACCCCAATTGGAATGAGAAGCTCCTCATTGTTAGACACTTCATGTGGATATCTGCTCAGAGAATTACAGGCATGTCTGGTTTTCTTGTTCACTTGTCTCTTTCTCACAAAAGATTCAGAGATTAGATGTGCATTATGATGTTTATATCTTTGATGGTGGTATTATGATGATGAGACAGATGATATGGGATGAAGTTGGGGAAGGCAAGTTTGAGCGAGAGAAAGTGTTGTTGGATATAGAGCAGGAGTGCGTAGAGGCTTACCGGAGAAAAGTCGATCAGGCCAATATCTCAAGGTCTCGTCTGCATCAGGAGCTTGCGGAATCTGAAGCCGAACTCACCCATCTTCTATTGTGCCTCGGTGAAAGATCGGTGCCTGGAAGGGTATTTTCGTCCTTTTTAACTCCTACATTGTTAACAAGATGAGCGCATGATATGTTAGATATGTTGAGAAACATAGGCATACCCTCTTAAGGAAAGAAACCAGAGATTTCGAAAATACAACTCTTTTTTGCATGAAAATTTTGGCAATCTTCACTTTTTATACTATAAACAGCCCGAGAAAAAGGGAGGAACGCTGAAGGAGCAACTAGATTCCATTGCACCTGCACTGCGTGAGATGCGGCTGAAGAAAGAAGAGCGAGTAAAGCAATTTCGAGCAGTTCAAGGAAAAATTCAGAAAATTTCTGCAGAGATTGCAGGTAGATCAGCATATGATGACTCTTCTACGAATATAACCGTGGACATGAATGATCTTTCTCTAAAGAAACTCGAAGAATATCAAATTGAACTATCAAGGCTCCATGATGAGAAGGTAACAAGTAATAATATGCATTTGGATTCATCTTGTGAGATAATCTTTCAGTTTACCTATCAAAATGGTTTTGGCTGATCAACCATATTCATTTTTTTTGCACTTTTTATATCGGGTTGTCAAAAGAGTGCGAGACTACAGAGAGTTGAAATATACATATGTGCTATTCGAGATCTATCAACGACCTTAGGAACGGATGCATCAATGACAGTAACAAAGGTTCACCCGAGCCTGAATGATCTCTATGGAATATCCAAAAACATAAGCGATGTTATCTTAGAAAAGCTCAATACCATTGTTGTTTCTCTTGAAGAGGAGAAGCGGAAGCGCCTTGAGAAGGTGAGATTTTCAAGCCCTATCCTCTTGCTTCTAGCACTCTGTGGGGGCATACCTTAGAATATATGTCAACAAACAAGATCAAACATGAAATGGTGAATTAACTTATATCAAAAGAAAACTTAGTATGTAATCAAGATAATCTCACCTGACCTACTCAAACTATATCAAACAGATACATTTGGTAACTTCCTCTTCTTATTACAGCTTCACCAACTCGGTAACGCTTTATCAAACTTGTGGAATCTAATGGATGCTCCTTATGAAGACCGTGAAAAGTTTTCCAATCTAATGGATTTGCAAGCACTATCACCGTCGGAAGTGTGGGCTCCTGGCAGCCTTACCTTAGGCATAATTCAGCAGGTATTATAAAATGATGTGCAGAATGCACAACCTATGGACTGTAAGCCTAACGTTTTCTCTTTCGGGTAAAATTTTCAAAGGCTGAAGCTGAAGCCAAGAGACTAGATCAACTGAAAGCAAGCAAAACCAAAGAAATTTTCCTCAAGAAGCAAAATGAGTTAGAGAACATATGCAACAGATCACATATGGAGACCCCATCAACTGACATGGGAAACATTATGAACCTTGTAGACTCTGGTAGGACTAGCTGCTATAAACATCTGTTTCATGATCTTGCATGTTTTCCCCTTTTCTTTTTCTTTCGGTTCATGTCAAACTTACAACAAAACTTGTTAAACTCTTTTAAAGGGGAAATTGACCACGCCGATCTTCTCAGCACCATGAATGAAAAGATAGCAAGAGCAAAGGAAGAAGCATCTAGCAGGAAAGGAATAATCGAAAAAGTGGAAAAGTGGATATCAGCATGTGATGAAGAGCGCTGGCTGGAAGAATACAACCAGGTTTTGTTTGTCTACTGTTTTTCTCAGAAACTATTTACATTGTTATCGACAGTTGGAATACTGATGCTAGCAGAGCATGTACTACCACAGGACGAGAATCGTTACTCAGTAAGTAGAGGTGCTCATAGAAACCTAAGACGTGCAGAGCGAGCCCGCATAACAGTCAGTAAAATCCCTGGTAATATAGGAATTACCTCTCTCTAGCTAAGATCTCGGTCCAACTTTCAGATTCGCACTGAAGCATCTCCAAATTCAACTCAGATGGAATTTGGATTTGAACACGCAATCTTACTTACTATGAAGCTACTTATTCATTGTTACGACGATGCCCACACCAGGTTTAGTGGAGTCTCTGATGGTAAAGACTAAGGGCTGGGAGGCTGAAAGACAGAAAATCTTCTTGTATGATGAGGTGATATAACTTGTACCTGTGACTCTAATCAAAATAAAAACATCAGAAATCAGAATAGCAATCTCATGTTTGTGTCTATTCAGGTACCCCTCAATGCAATGTTAGAAGAGTACAACAAGCTGAGGCAGGAAAAAGAAGTTGAGAAACAAAGGCACCGGGTTAGTCTTCCTTGAATTAAAGATTAATGTTTTCTATTGTCAATCTTGTCTACCCTAAAAACTTATAAATGAGCATAATAACCGACGTTGGAAGGACATTTTGCAATTTAACCTGTTTAACGTATAGAAATGGCTGTACCTCACAGGAGATGAAAAAGATCCTTCCAGAAGTTGTTAAGGAGCCAGAGAACTTTAACGTGCCACGGCCAACCAGCAGCAACCGCCGGATTCTAAATCGAAGCTTAAACGGGAGTTTTGGCAGTGCAAGTCATTTGAACAGAAAGGTTTCTTCGGGAATCCAACAGTATGGGTCGAACATCATCAATTCAACAGCTCTAGGAACATCCATCGGAAAAGAAGGCAGAAGGATTCAAGCATCACAAACACCCGCCCGGTTCAGTCTCGCTTCTCATCTTCGCAATGAAAGTGCTTCTGTTGTCTCGATGTTTTCAGGTCCATTGTCTCCTTGAACTCATCATGTTTCATTTGAAGCAGTTATATCATGTAACAAGACTAAATTGTCACTTTCAAAAACAAATTAAAGTATGTCTTAAACCCACCTATATATAGTCTTTCTAAGATCTGCAGCTCTGTCCTTCTGGAGAGTCTCCTCTTCTAGATATATTCAGAAGCATTGTGTGCCATTCGAGAACAATAATTGTGACTAAAGGAAAGGGAAATCCATAGATTATATACCCCATACTTCCATACACGAAGTTCCAAAACAATCAAATCTGATGGTACTGATAAAAAGAATTCACCTTTTGAAGACTAATTATGAAAATCAAGTTGAAACGCCAAACCTGAAATACCCAAATATCCATGCCTTTTGGGTAGAAGACTTGATTCGACCTTACTCCACTGGAGGACGTAAACTCAAGTATTCAAAAGAATAAAAATGCGACAGAAATTGATGCGAGAAGACGTAGAAATGGCTTTCCTTTGCTAACACAAATTTGAAGTTAACATTGACACGAGTCAAAGCCAAACACAACGAACAGAAAAAACAAGAAGTAAATTAGCTGGATTCGGTCTCCGTTTCTGCTTTTCTGAAGAAATCGTTGATGCGGCGAGCGCCAGCTGGTGCGGGCTTATCTGCGGCTGTCACGGATCGAGCGACGCGATTGACGGTCTGAGCCGGGACGGGGAGCGAGTCAAGAAGGAAATCGCTAGTGGGTCGGTGCCTCTTCACGGCGGTTCTCAGATGATCGAGATTCACCGTCTTCCGTTTCCTCTCCGCCGCGACCTCCGCCGATTTCTCGGTGAGGAAGCGGAGGAACAGCTCGGCGGCGCAGGATACGAGGAAGAGAGCCTCCGAGTTGACCTTGTTGATGTCCTTGTCGAGTTTCATGATCTTCTTGACTCGTCCCGTGGGAAACTCCGGCCGAATCGCCTCCGCTTTCTCCTCCACCTCCTCGGTCATGGAACAGTCGTTCGGAAATCTAAGGTAGGGATTGATTAGGGATTTGCGATCACGCACTCTGGTCCCTTAATGTTCAATTTTCCCGCTCTTTCTTACTGACGATTTTCCCGCCAAAAATGAAGCCCAAACTGAGAATTTTTTTGGACCAAAAGTTAATGGACCAATTTTTGTGGACCAAATCAAGAAGTGGCACAAATCAACAAATTGGAATACCAGTAAGCGATACGTGTTCGAATTTTATTCTCATAATTTATTTATTTATTTAGAGATTAAAATTGTTAGATTCAAAATATATTTAGAGATTAAAATATATTTAGGCTCATTTTAAACAAATTCGTTACATACAAATAAAAAAATGCAAATAAAGATTGACTAAACAACAGAACCTTTGACTTTTTTTTTTTTTATATGTAGACTGAATTATTATTTTGTTACATACGAGATTCCAAGAACAGAAAAAAGATATATGCACATGTAGAAAGGAGTTATCTTATGGGTTTCTCCTAACTTGGCCAAAGTTGCAAACTTTTTCATGGGAAAGCACATGTTCAATGCAAGGAGGGGACATAGTGTTTATATGGGAGATGATACTTTAGAATTTTTCATGCATTTCCCTTAATCCCCTTGTTTCTGATCTTAATTTCATACAAGTTTATGGGAATGTACCTGGATCTTGGTCGATGACATTCCCGCTTCAGAACTGATCCTCCTTATCCAGCTCCATACATTTTTTTCACCCTTTTCTTTCTGTAATTGATGACAGTGAAGTTGTTTTCCATCCTTTGTAGCATATTTTCACATTGAGAAATGTCCATAATAGAAGAAGGATATGTACAACACATCAGCGGATGCGATTCACGTGAGCAAAGGGCTCTGGATTAGCTTTAGGAGCAGCTTTTACGGCTGGCTCTGGAACTCCGAAAACATTCCAAAACCTCAGTGTTTCATCTCCTGCCGCTGATGCTACAGTACAACCATCCGGGCTCTGCAGAAAAAAGAAAAAAGTGTGAGCTGATTTGTCACATTGAATTAATTTTAGCTGCTAGATAAGTTTGAAGCGATTTCGAGTGGTTTTTTAACCTGGGCCATGTATAGAACTCTTGATGTGTGACCTGTGAGCTCAGCCATCTTCACCATGGATGGGTACTTCCACAGTGTGAGCTGGTTTTGGGTGAACCCATGAGAGCTAAGCAGCTCTCTCTCATTCTTGTTCCATAATAAAGCGCAGACTTGAGAGCCAGTGTCCACCGAGTTCAGACAAGCCCCAGTGTGTGTGTTCCAAAACTTGATTGTCCTGTCTCCTCCACCTCCCCCAGATGCAAGCAAGTTGCCCTGGAAAGGACACCAAGCAAGAGCCTTGACAGCAGAAGTATGTTCCTCCAGCCTGTGAAGCCACTGTGTGGAGGAGGACGCCGCCATGGATTGATCCCATATGTGCACGAGGTTGTCATTGCCGCCACTCGCTAGTTGTCGGCCAGACCCTGACCATTTCAATCCGCATACCTCTTGGGTGTGGCCCCTGTATGTCTCCACAATGTGCGATCTTATCCTGACATCGTTGTTGATGATCTGACCGTCCATGCCACCTGTTGTCAGGATGTGATTGTTCCATGCGAGTGACCCTACTCTCGATGTGTGGCCACCCTTTAGAGTTCTCAGCTGCAGAAAAGAACAAGAACAAAACATCGTTAGGGACATGTGGTGGAATAGACCTTTTTCGCTGAAGAAACTTAATTACAGGGGGGGATTTCTGGGATTACTTGACGATTAGATGCGGAATCCCACAGCTGAACTTCTGAATTGTTGAGACCAACGGCAATATGGCGACCATCAGGTGCCCAATTAACACTTGTGACTGGTCCCTTTTCATCATCGATCGTCACCAGTTCAGAGGTAGAACCGTTAGAAGCATCCCACAGATACACAGTGTGTCCTAACGCTATGGCGAGGACATTCGCACTGCCCCAATCCAACAAGTTGAGGTAGAAGTCATCCACAATGTCAGGAGCATCCAATGTCCTCTCAGATGTCTTGCATAACCACAAAGTTCCACAAATCAGCAACGAATGTCAAATAGCTCCAAAAACAAAGGATCTTTCAGAAACATTTGAATCTGTTTATTAGCATATCGATCATTCACAAATCAACGCATATATACACACATACATACCTGAGGAATGTATCTACGAGGCTTTACAGACTTGGGCTGCTGGTTAGAGGCATGGTGATCTCCAGACAGCACGTCGGCAGGAACAGGAGGTTTGTTCTTGAAAGCCAGGATGCGGGTTCGGTTCATGTTGAAGACCTCGGCCAACTGCTTTCTATAAGCCTCTTTGGATGGGGAACTCACTGCCGCCGCCATTGATGCCGCTTGCTCCTTACCTTTCCTTCCTTCTGTCAGCATATAGTGAGCGTAGTCGAAGTCCATCGCAGATCTGTTGGGTATGAATCTATCCAGCTGATGGGATACATAAACAGTCGATAGAAGGAAATAAGTTCATCATCATTCATCTGGTATAGTGATTCTCAAGAAATATAACAAAAATCATCATTTCTTGAGAAGAAACTGAGACAATGAATCATAAATAAGTTCATCCTCATTCGTCTGGCATAGTGATTCTCAAGAAATTTGCAAGAAATGTAACAAAAGCCATAATTTTTTTAGAAGAAACTGAGACAATAAATCATTGATCCAATACTGTCGATATAACTCAAGATCCCCAATCGGTACTTCAAATACATAAACCAAATCAAAATTCCTAATTCCAGAATCGATTATCAAAACTGAAATTAAAACCCTAACTTCGCGTCAACCTAATCGGAAACTCCGAACCCCCAGATCGACATAACTAACGGATGTAAAGGGTATAAATTCCGAGAATAGAAGAAATCTGCTTACATTTTCCTTGGAATTTCTTCTCGGAAGAAACTGTTCTTGAAGTGGGTATCGAGCTTGAGCCTTCAAATGGGAAGACGTGTTCATAGATCCTGCATCCATTTTAGAGAAGAGACAAACAACACAAAGAAACAGCACTACCAGATTGTAATAAACTACAGATCTACGTTTTCGCAACGACGCAAACACCGATATTAAGCGGAATGCAAGAGAATTTATGAAGCAAAACCTGCAAAAGAACAGATTAAAAAAATCGAAGAGCTATATGCAAAAATGGTTAGCAGAAATGAGAGAAAAAGGCAGAAGAACGCTTGCGATCGCAGTTGTATCAGAGCAGATTAGATTGAGACGAAGAAATATGTCGTGATTTATAGAGCAGGAGAGGAGGAAGGGATTTGGGGATTAGGGTTTTATTTGGTTCAATAAGAAAGGAAAAAAGTGGCCAACGGCTATATTTTAGAAAGAGCCGTTGGGAAACGTTCTTCATCAACGGTTCCCGAACGCAAACGCTAGCGTCCATGCTTCTGCGTTTGGAAACGCAACTTCTGGAGTGTAATGTCTATTTTGCCCCTGCTAACTGCTAAGGTTGGATTTCGGTCCATGTATTGATTGGGCTCTTCTTAATTGGGCTGACAAATGAGGTTGTTACCTAAATTGTGAAAATAATGCACACAAATCTATTACAAATAATTTCAATTAATTGCTATTATTATAAAAATCTACTACTTATAATTTCTTAGTTACATTATTTTTTTTAATAAACATATATTTACATATTATATTATATTTCCAGCCATGGCACTTTGTATATAATATATTGAAAATCATTGCGTGTAATGGAAACAAGCCACGCATGTTATTGTTGTTATGCCGCGTGAGCAACTACTCTCCGTATGTACGCATTTAAAGCATTTTTTTCCGAACTAATTTTTGATGCACGATTTCCTTATTATTTATTCGTATTTTCACGTAAATAATTTTTCTGCTCCTTTTTTTATGTGTGTTTATGATATTGAAAATTCATAGTCAATATTTTATCAAGATTTTATTGCTATTAAATTTCAACATTGTGTACACTAATGATGAATGCCCACATCTTACAAGTTTATGAATCTTCCCAACTCATGAAGGGTAAAAAAGATGATACGGGAGAGGAGTGTTGTAAATTTGTAGAAATTCACTGTGAATTTTTTTTTATCATACCTCTCCAAAAATAAAAACTGAATTGTTTGTGTTGGTATCAAATTACACACTTTAAGTGAACAACAACAACATGCCCTCATTCCCAATTTTATTTGGGGTCAGAAATCCTTAGTCTCCACTCATTTCGATCTCGGGTTAACTCTTTCGGAATCTACAACATTTCCAAATCGTTTCTAATGACATGCTCCCAAATAAGTTTAGGTCTACCTCTTTTTTTCCTTCTCACCCTTATACCTATATTCTCCATTTTCTAACCGACACATCTATCGGTCTACATTGTATACATGTCCAAACTATCTTAAACGTCTCTCACATACCTTCTCTTCGATACCTATTATTTATATTTTCTTTCTAATAATCTCATTTCTCATTCTATCCATCTTTGTATATACGTATATTCATCTCAATATCTTCATCTCGACCACACTCATTGTAGACACATTTCAAGTGAAAGAAAAAAAATTAAACTTCTTCCTCATTTATTGTATATCGCGTTTTTTAACCGGATATCTCTAAATAAAAATCATACTAATTTCAAATTTTTACCGGATATCTCTAAATAAAAATCATACTAATTTCAAATATCAGAAAAATCCATTTGAATATCCCAATCAAAATTTGAGATTCAAACTCGAGATGTTACCCATTTCTACCCAAGTTTAGGTTCCATTTTCTAGTCTACAGTCCAATATTTGCTAATTTTGTAGTATCAATGTACTTATAAGCCCGTCAAACATTATTTTCGTGGAGGTTTACCTAGTCAGCGCGTCCGAAGGGTAGCATCTAGGGATCTTTCGTTAAAATAAAAAAAAATTGTTATCGTGGAAAAAGATGTAACATTCGATGTCACACTCGATGTCACACTCTCACCACAAAAAGCAAACATAAAAAAAAAGAGAAAAATAATAATAATAATTGAATAATTGGATCACCTCCTGCATGAAAATGTGAACCCATTGCATTCAGTTCACATGCACGAAAAAAAAACAATCAATCTCACCACCCAACTGTGCAAAACATTTAATTCCATCTCTCTTCAAAGACACCACAACACAACACAACACATCACCAAGACAGAAAGTAGACAACAAGAGAGAGAGAGAGAGAGATGAAGGGTCGTCATCTTATCTTCTTCTTCCTATCATCGCTCACCGTCCTGACCATGCCGCCGCCGTCGTTCGCAGCGGATCCGGCGGCCGGAGGCGGCGGCGGAGGAGCGTTGGCGGAGGAGTGCAACGAGGATTTTCAGAAAGTGATGCTGTGTTTGGATTTCGCGAGGGGGAAAGTGGCGACGCCGACGAAACAGTGTTGTGATTCGGTGGGAGGGATCAAAGACAAGGATCCAAAGTGTCTGTGTTTCATAATACAGCAGACGAGGACAGGCGGGCGGAGGAGTGCAACGAGGATTTTCAGAAAGTGATGCTGTGTTTGGATTTCGCGAGGGGGAAAGTGGCGACGCCGACGAAACAGTGTTGTGATTCGGTGGGAGGGATCAAAGACAAGGATCCAAAGTGTCTGTGTTTCATAATACAGCAGACGAGGACAGGCGGGGAAGCTCTGAAACAGCTCGGTGTTCAAGAAGACAAGCTTCTTCAGTTGCCTTCTGCTTGCCAGCTTCGCAACGCCAGCATCTCCGACTGCCCTCGTACGTATATCCACATATTTCTGTAATTATATATACACACACACTAATTCTTTGTTACACAAAATTGTGTGGTGTCCGTACATAGATACATACATGCATGATGCATGCTTACATACATATATACTAGATCTTTTGTTAAAGAACATTCCACAAACTTACTACACCCGCAAGCTATAATAGATAAACAAAGTTTTTTTTTTGGTAAAAGATAAACAAAAGTTATCTTTAAAACCATTGTTACAAAAAAAATATGGTCGTTGTGTATACATACATATATATGTGTGGACCCAAGTTGATATGAATTGGGGTATATACCCCATTTGTTTAATTAAAAAATATTTTTTTATAAAATTTATAATTTTTTTTAATAAAACGCTTAAATGTCTCCGTGATAAAATTATGTTTGTCATGCAGTAAAATTAAATTTGTCCCAAGTTATAATTTTTTCCAGATGGGCTATATATAAATCAAAACACTGTGAAAACGTACTTTACTCATGACGTTGGGTTTGGAAACTAGATGTACGGTTGCATGCGCGTTCGGATGAATCACGGTTTTCAAGGTCAATGGATGACGTGTATCACATAAAGCTGACTCAAATTTAACACAAGCCACGTCACTTTCCATAGTTATGTAAACTATATATATATGTGTGTGTATATAAGTGTCAAATATTAACTATTTTGAATAAATTATTTATTTACATACATTTATTACAGAACCAGAACTTAACTGGCTATGCATTAAAGCGACATGGCTGCATGCACCGCCCCCATATGATACACACACACTGAGGCGTGTTTATTTGACCTTGAAATATACAAATATTAATGGATCTGCTCAAAATTAGCAGTAAATTATATATTATATCATATATTTCTTTTTTTTTTCAGATTTTGTTTGTTAATCTGATTTTTTTATTCATCTGTCTTCTCTGACGTTTTTATAATAAAGATTTGAATCCCGGATATCATTAAAAAAAAATCTGTAATGTATCACTGGTCGAAATACTAATAAAAAATGCCCATATTTTAAATTTTATTTTATAAATTGTGAAATTGTATTAATGTGCCTGGCAAATGGGCAGGACTTCTCGGTCTAGCACCGAATTCACCGGACGCGGCCATATTCTCGGGGAACGCCACGTCATCATCGACACCGGCGGGAAATTCTCCATGGTCCACGTCAACTCCGGCGACGTCGCAAGACAAAGGAGGATCTGCCGTCGCAACGGACAGGCTAACCGTCGTCTCCGCCGTGGCTTTGGCCGCCGTCTCCTTCCTCTCGGCCTTCGCCTAGACAAGTGAGCGACACGTGTCTCTCGGTCCACGTGGCACTAAATCTTACCCTCTCTTGTTTTTCTTTCTTCCCTCTTTCTAATTATGTGCTTGTTCGGAATTCGGACTAATGAAACGCTGTTTCGAGTGATTTGCGGTTACATAATTTTCTCTCTCAGTTACGTATAATGTTACAATTTTCATATTTATTCCGATTATATTAAACGAATCTATTAAACTCATATATATGAATGCGACCGACAGCAAGTTTAATTTTTTTTTTAACTCTATTTCGAATTATATATATGTTTAGAGATACCTAAAATTTTCAAGAAAATGTCATTTTCGTTTGCTAAAGTTTGTAGGTCAAAATATATCATCTTTGGAAATGTTTATATTATTTTTCATGCACTTACAATTCGCGTTCTCTTTGACTATATTTTTGTGCAACGTACATTAAAAATGACACATTTTTTCAAAAATGATTTTTTTTTTCTTTTGAAATATATGCTTCACCATGAATAGATCTATATAATATAATCAGTGATGTGGAAAAAAAAACTCTACTCTACGATTAAATTAATAAAAATATCCTATGAAGAATCTAGAATCCCTGTAAAATTTAAATTGGACTTTCTTTTTAACAAACTTTGGAGATATTGAATCTATAAATAAATGCATTAATAGAAAGCGTAATAAATTGTTTTGTTACGGAAAGCATATTCCTAACTGCTTTACAAATTCAGACAACGGCCGGCCACATTTATTACAATACACGTTTTTTTTTTCACACGAAAATCACAAGACAACTAGCATTTCTAATAAACAAAAAAAAAATCAATTTCGATTTGAAAAATATGGGTCAATAAACGTATGGCTCAGATGGGCTTGATTCGACCACAGGCCCATTAGCCCATCTCGCTAATTTTATTTATTATTTCGTTTTTGTTAAAAAGGAAAGAAAGAAAAGCAGCGTAGTGCTAACGCAAAAATATTGTTTAAATATACCCCAAAGTTTCAATTCGTTCACACAAACCCTCGAACCCAGAAAGAGAGAAAAAAAATTCTCGGCTGCTTCTGTCGGCGGAGAATATGGCGGCCCAGATGGATCCGGACGCGGTGGCGAAGGCCTTCGTGGAGCACTACTACTCGACCTTCGACACGAACCGTGGCGGACTAGCGAATCTCTACCAGGATTCGTCCATGCTCACCTTCGAAGGCCAGAAGATCCAAGGCGTTCAGAGCATCGTCTCCAAGCTCACTTCCCTTCCCTTTCAGCAATGTCAACACCACATCTCCACCGTAGATTGCCAGCCGTCCGGTCCCGCCTCAGGCATGCTCGTCTTCGTCTCCGGCAATCTCCTCCTCGCCGGCGAGCAGCACCCCCTAAAGTTCAGCCAGGTCCCCCCCCCCCCCC